ACTGCGCCATAGCGCGTGCACGCGGCAGAGAGAGAGAGAGAGAGAGAGAGAGAGAGGAGGGGGACAGACCGACGGCAGCAGCCGCAGCACAGAAGAGGATGAAACAGAACACGATCACGGAGCCGTTCACTTCAAAGTGGCAGATGAAGTTCAAGAAGAAGTGGCTGCGGTTTGTGTACAGTCAGCGCCTGACGTTCAACGTCTTCCGGAGCGAGCCATGGTTGGACGTCGTCCGGCACTTCAGGGACTTGCTGGGGCCAGTGAAGGTGTTGTGGCCTTCAGAGAATGAGATCGCAGACAGAGAGACCATTGTCCACACGGCGGACGATGTGGGAGCTGATCTCGCGGAGGTCAGGGATCCTTTCTATGTCACGGGGGCCACCATTATGTCAGATGGAAGGAAGTCATGTGATGCTAGACCCATCGTTAACTTCCTTGCCGGCGGGTCGCGTGGGGTGATGCTCGTCCGAACGATGAACAGGGAGGGTGAGCGGGATCGGGCGCCTGATGTGTTGGCGCGGTGGATCAAGGTGTTCGATGACTTTCCCCCTAAGTGGGTGAATGCCATCTGCACCGACTCCGCCTCGGCGTACGTCGCCGCGGCGAACATGCTCCAGGGGCCCCAGCAGAGGCCGGAGCATCGACAGATCACGTGGCTCCCATGCGCAGTGCATGTCTGCAACAAGATGTTGTCAGACATTGGCTGTTCGGGCCCGTGGTCCAAGGACATCATCGTGAGGGGGAGAGCGGTGGTGCGCTTCATTAAGGAGCACGACACCGCTCTCCATATCTTCCGGGGGGAGAGCAGTCAGATGGGCCTCATCTATCCTTGCGAGACACGTTTCGCATCCGTGTTCGCGATGGTGGAGCGTTTGCTGGCAGTGAGGTCAGCTTTGGAGAGGACGGTGGATGGCGATAGTTGGGGTATGGTCCCTTGGGACCATTCAGTTCGTCATTTGGCTAGGTGGGTCAGGTGGCAGGTGCGACATGGCAGTTGGTGGGATTCCATGGGCATCTTGCTCCGTATCATGGAGCCTGTGTACGACCTGCTGCGCAGGTTGGACCGAGGAGGGCTGCACATGTCGCGGGTGGTTGAGTGGACGCAGGATCTGGCCCGCCAGGTGGCAGAGGAGGTTTGTGCACTTCCGCCAGATCTTGCACACCACATTGTGCAGAGGGTGCAGGCTCGATGTGCTCACATGCTGGAGCCGGCGCACGCCGCTGCTCACCTCCTCTGTCCCAGCCGGCGGGACTTGCGGTACTTCGAGGGCGTGGTCAGCGACTACAACGTGAGCTTGGTGAGGGAGGCGGAAACTTACATCTTGTCGCAGACAGGGTTCAGTGTGGCGAGCCGCGACTACGAGACCACATGTGCACAGTTGCGCGACTTCCACACACGGAGGGGGACGATTGCTTAGGGGGGGAGAGACGGAGACAGAGATGCACAGAGGTGCAGGGGCGATGCGGAGACGTACGAGTCCGGGTGTTGGTGGTCGAGGTATGGGCAGTGCGCCCCGCAGTTGCAGGTTATCGCTCTTTGTGTGATGTACATGTGGACGTGCTCCTCTCCTGCGGAGAGGAATTGGGCCTTCCACGAGGGTATACAGACGAAGAAGCGTAACCGGCTTGAGTTCGAGAAGGTCGCGAAGTTGGTTGAGATCTCAGCCAACGTCCGCCTTCTATCTCATCAGCGAGCAGGTCGCGGGTTCGCGCTGCCGTGGACTCTAGATGAGTCGTTGTTGGACGTGGAGGGTGGTATCGGGATTCGCCCCTCGTGGAAGGGGACGCACGAGAGTAGGACGCGGGAGGAGGTCGAGGATCAGAGACGTTCATGGCTGCGAGACCCATGTGGGTCCAGAGCTCCTCCGGGTGAAATGGGCGATGTTTTCGGGACTCGAGTCGCCACATTGCACCCGTACCCTCGAGACGACAGTGATTCTGAGGGTCACGAAGACGAGGACGAGCCGGCGGGCCCCGCTAGCACCACTCCTACGGCGGATGAGCGTGATGAGTGGAGCGACCCAGAGGACGTCCGTAGACGGAGTGGCGGAGATGACCTTTTCATTCAGGTTGATTTGGAGGAGGAGTTTGGGGGTCTTCATGGGAGCCCTTTAGAGCGTCCGAGGCCTACGTCCACTGCCCCGCTTCCCGCTGAGCGGGAGACAGATCCTGGGTCTGCACCTTCGAGGGGGGCAGAGTGGGGGATTGGCCATCGTCCTCTGGGTCGCTTTGGCACGGCATCATCCACCGCTCTTCCCACTTCGACGGAGCAGCTTCATCGACAGCCAGCCGTTGCAGATCGATTACAGAGATTAGTGAGGGGCCCGAGACGGCGATTGGAGGACAGATTGGAGGGCGGTCCTGTGCCGGTGAAGGGTGACGACGAAAACAGACAGGGGTTGGTTGGTGGAGATGGTGGTTGGCTGGCTGGAGGTGGAGGCGGTGCCGAGGCTGATGCGGCGGTTGAGGGGATACCGATGGGCGGCGGAGGCGGTTTCAGTAAGTTTAGCGATATGGGTATGCCCCCGGGAGAGAGCGTGGGTCTAGCCCTAGGAGAGAGCGAATCCCGTGGGGACATCAGTGTGGGTATGCAGAACTTACTCGGACAGATCAGCTTCGCGGACCCGAGTAGTTTCTCCCCTGCCATGTGCGCAGAGGTGATGTTGGGGGCAGAGGGGGATGAGGACCGGACACCCCCTGGAGAGACATCTGCAGAGAGGCTGGATAGGCTTGATAGTCGTCGAGCGTGCCTCATGGCACAGAGGGACCCCAGGACGCAGGAGCTCGCCCGTCTTGCGGCCGAGGACCGACAGAGGCAGCTTGGGACATTTACGCCGGCGTCTGTTGACGTGGGGCCAGCTGCCCACACGGATACTCCGGCAGAGGTTCACGACACGACGCAGCGGGAGGCAGCTTCAGCAGAGGTTTCGAGTATGGGAGTGGATGTCCAGCAGGGGACGCACAAGAGCGGGTTGGCACCAACATAGGAGCCACGTTCAGAGCCGTCGCAGCATCCTGCCGTGGAGCGGAGGCCAGAGGAGACATTGCAGGAGGTCGCGGGCGTGCCTCTGCCTGCGGGTTCAGTTGAGGGTGATGTGCATATGTCCCCGGGTCTGGAGGAGATACCGACAGGGCAGTCAGTGGGCGTTGATGATATTCGCCCATTGGCATGAGCGGAAGGGATAGCGCCGACCACCGGGGGGGACGGGGCCGTAGCGGGGACCGTTGGTGCTGGCGGGTCAGGGGTGCCGTCCGCGGCCGATCCGATGTCCACGTTTGGCGGGGGAGACCCCGCACACGTGGACAGGCGTGACGCGGACGGACAGGAGATGCCACAGACTTTGGTGGTTCGCACTGCTGTGGGGCTAGTGGTGCCACATCAGGCACCGTTTTTGGAGGGTTTTCAGCGTCCTGCACATGGCGGTGGCCCGGTCGAGGAGCGACGTGTAGGCAGGGGCGCGTGCATACCCGCGGTCCCTACTTTTGCGCCGTCACGAACGAGGCTGGAGATTAGGCATGTGGCTACGCCTCGAGGCAGCCTCCCTTTTGGTTTTATGACCGCTGAGGAGTTGGAGGACCATGGCAGGAGGGATTTGATGGAGATCGACCAGCGCGTTTTGAGGACAGTCCCGGAGGAGGGGAAGCTGCCTCACGTGCAGGACTTATCTTGGGGGCCAGCCAGCCCCAGCTTACCTTCTGGGTGTTCCATCGCAGCGCCATCTGGCGGGGCTGCAGGGGGCTTACCTTCTGGAGGTTCCGTCGCAGCGGCATCGGGCGGGGTCGCAGGGGACTTACCTTCTGGAGGTTCGGTTGCAGCGCCATCTGGAGGCGCTGCAGGCCCTTCGTCACCCTTGAGCGCAGCTCCGAGGGAGGGCAGCAGCCTCACCCCGAGGTCAGTTGCCCGTAGACAGAGAGACACTACCCAGCGTGCGCGGGAGTTGCTGGACACCATGTTGTTCGGTCGCACAGATCGACCGTGGAGTGAGACGAGACGGGTGACGACGGCGAGTGTCGGTCGTCAGCCACATTTGAGAGGGGTTTCAACGAGCGTGAGACGTCGAGATGTTGTAGCTGCAGGGTTTGGCGGTAGAGGGGGTGGCGGCGGTGGCAGTGGTGGTGACGGTGACGACAGACGTGAGGGTGCAGGCGGTGCCACGACGAGCGCAGTGGATCAGCCGCGGACGTACGGTTTGAGAGAGGCATCGCTTATTTTGGAGGAGCCTGATGTTGTTACACGACTGAGGCAGACCCGACACGTGCCCTTAGATCGACGTCAGGAGGGGGAGACTTCAGGGACTGACGGTCTACCTATGGCGCGCGAGTCACGCTGACGTGATGACCTAGCAGCAGCAGCCATCAGGACGGTGAGAGGCAGGAGAGTCATTATGGACGACGATCCCGACGAGCTTCCCGTCACTCCCGAGCCTCCCGCTGGCGGACGCGGCGGCCAACGTCAAAGAGATCGAGAAGGCGGCAGGGGTCGGTCCCACGGAGGAGTTTCTCATCGGTCCCAGCGAGATCCGCATGCGCACCACGATCATTGACGGATTATGGACTTGCATTTTCGTGACTTTCTCAGTGTACTTTAGTTTGTTGTTATCCATGACAGACGTAGTGTCTCGTGAGGTTGTATTACAGTCTACTTTGCAGTGGGTGCTTTTCTGCGCAGACGTAGTGTTTCGTGATGTTGTATTATAGTGTACTTTGCAGTAGGCACTTGTCTCTGGTTTGCTACTTCGGAGATTGTAGCTTTCCAGTGTATTTTAGCGTGCTTTTTCGTCGGCATTTTCGGGTTGGTACTTTTTCCCACAGACTGGTGGGGCTTCGACACGATGTGTCGGATATTTGCTATTATCCATGCTATATTGGTTTGCATTTTGCTTCCATCATTACATCTTGGCATTTGCGATCTTTCTGTTTTCAGACGACGAGTGCTTTGTGTGCTTCCAGGCCCCTCATGACCCAAAACCTCCCGTACCCCCCCCCTGCCCCCCGCCCCCACCCCTGCGCCCGAACCCCCTGAATGACCTTTTTTTTTTTTTTTTGCTCGCAACCCTTTTTAAAAAATTTCTCTAACCGCTTGTTTTACGCTATTAAAAAAAATAAAAAGAAAACAGAAATTTTGGAAAAATAAATAAAAGAAAGGTCGCAGTTTGTGTGTGTGTTTGTGAATGTGATAATGTGTGTGTGTATTTGTTTGTGTAAATGGGTGGCGCATTTTGGGGGGTTGTACGTGTTGGCGAAAAAAAAGTGCCCGTGTGTGTGCGACGGTGTGAATTTGTGTGTGCATGTGCGTGTGTGTATGTGTGTGTGTGTGTCAGTGTGTGTGTGTGTAAATGGGTGGCGTGGTTTGGGGGGTTGTAATTGTGGGCAGGGAAAAAAAAAAAAAAAAACGTCCCCGGGGGTGGGTGGCCCTCCGTTGGGTGGGGGTAGGGGAGTCGGGGCTTGGCAGGTGGTGGTTTCGGGGGTGGGAACCGCGGGTGGGGGGGGTGTATGTGGTGGTCCCGGGGGGCGGTTTTCGCACTTTGGCGGTCTGTTGAAATCGGACCACCACCCCGTAGCCCCAGTCGCGCGCGCATGCCCCGCGGGACCGCGTTCAATTTTTTCGCGCGCGCGCGCGTGCAGCGCGTTTAAACGCGATTGAACGCGGGGCACGGGGGGTTGAACGCGCGCGTTTGAACGTGAACGCGCGTTCACGACGTTCAACCGGTTACACAGCCCTATGATGGTCATCACAGAGTTTTGGAAGGCACAGAGACCCGACGATATGATGGTCCAGCTTCGCCACACAACCTGACTATCTGATGCACATCGCATTTCCACCACATTTCCCGCTAAACAAATGATGCTCCGGCTTCGGCGTGACACCTAACCATCGCACAGTCTAGACAGGCAAGGACACCCGACCACCGAATGGTCCAACTTTGCCGCAACATCTGGCCGCCAGATGGTCCACGCAGGGAGGGACCTTCACAAGACCATTTGACGGCCCGACTTAGGCAAACCATCCAACCATCCGATGGACCAGCTCCGCAAGACACACTCGCCTGACGTCCGAGACCTTTGTCATCCATTCTCATTTCAAAACGCAAAAAAAAACATATTACCGACGAACCCTCCTACTGAGCCCGTATAAACAGAACAAAGATGAACCGAACGTCAGCAGCTCAGGTGTTTCCCCGGTTGCGTATTTTGAAAACGCTAAAATGTATTTCATTTTGACAAAACCGCACTAAGTCTTTCGTACCAACGACTTTCCAATACAATCTCTGATAATTGTGGTCTTCGTTTCGACCTCATGCCATTCGATGTGCTCGACTATCTGCTCTTTGGGTGGCATAATGTCTAACCTTCCATCGGCAGCCAACGACGTGGAACTTACTACGAGTTACGAAAACAACAGCATCGCTCAAGCCTGCCATGGATGGTTGTGAGAACATGTGACCCGTGAGGACAGTCCCCTTTCTCACGGTGGTGGAACGGACTGTGCATAGTTTCTACAAGGCAGTTGTAAACGATACGAAGGAAGGAGTAAGCAATCGACAATCATATTCGGAATGGCAGGAACCCATGTTTCAGGAACCCATGTTCAGCCAAGCCCCGCCACGACGGCCGACCATCTAGCCACATAGTTTATGCACGACACCGACGTTCTGATGGTCCAACTTCGAAACGACACCTGACCATAGAATGGTCCAACTTCGGCATGGCAACCGATCAATTGGTCGTCGCTTTTCGCACGACGTCTGTCCATCACAGGGTTGTGGCAGGCATGGACACCCGACAATACGATGGTCCAACTTCGCCGCGACACCCGACTATCCAATGGTCATGCATTGGCATGATGCCCGACGACTGGCAAATTTAAACTCCGGCTTCCGTGCGACACCTGATCATCGCACGGATAGGCACGGACACCCGACCACCAGATGATCCAGCTTCGACACGACACCTAACCATACGACAGTGCAGTTTCGGGATGACATCCGCCCAAATTGGTCGTGCAGTTTTCGCCCGACGCGAGGCCATCACAGAGTTTTGGAAGGCACAGAGACCCGACAATATGATGGTCCAGCTTCGCCACGCAACCTGACTATCTGATGCACATAGCATTTCCACCACGTTTCCCACTAACCACATGATGCTCCGGCTTCGGCGTGACACCTGACCATCGCACAGTCTAGACAGGCAAGGACACCCGACCACCGAATGGTCCAACTTTGCCGCAACATCTGGCCGCCAGATGGTCCACGCAGAGGGGCCTCCCGACCGTCGGGCGTCGACCCGCCACCCGAGTTCTTTTCAGGTCTCGCTGCATGTCTGTGGATCCCCCATTCAATACATTGTGTCGGAGGGAAGGGTGGGATCAAGATCTTTCCCTTCCCTCTCACCCTTATGTCGTTTCACAAGTGTTGGTTTTTTTATCTGTCATCACAAGAGTTGTTTGTGGTACATGAATGTTGAATCCCCCTTGGACATGGCTGGCAGGAGGAAAGGGCGAGATGGAGAATCTCCCCCTTCCCTTGCACCCCCCGATTCGTCAGTTGAAAATTTTTTATTGAGTATGGATCCCCCATTCCCTCGCACCCCCCGACTTGCCGCCCGAGTTCTTTTCAGGTCTCGCTGCATGTCTGTGGATCCCCCATTCAGTACATTGTGTCAGACGAGGAGGAGAGGGAGGAGGAGGAGGACGAGAATTGCTGGGAGCAGGAGGAGGAGGAGGAGGAGGAGGAGGAGGACGAGGACAAAGAGGAGGAGGAGGAGGAAGAGAACGAGTAGGACGAGGGGGAGGAGAAAGAAGACGGGACCTAGGAGGACGAGGAGGAGGAGATACGTCGGGGCTACCTGAACGTCGGGCGTCGGCTCGCCGCCCGAGGGTTAGGGCCACCCGAACGTCGGGCGTCGGCTCGCCGCCAGAGGGTCACGGCCACCCGAACGTCGGGCGTCGACTCGCCGCCCGAGGGTGAGGGCCACCCGAACGTCGGGCGTCGACTCGCCGCCCGACTTCTTTTCATGTCTCGCTGCATGTCTGTGGATCCCCCATTCAGTACGTTGTGTCGGAGGGAAGGGTGGGATCAGGATCTTTTCGTCCCTCTCACCCCCATGTCGTTTTTTTTATGTCTTCGCAGGAGTTGTTTGTGGTACATGAATGTTAAATCCCCTTTGGACATGGCTGGCAGGAGGAAATGGCGAGATGCAGAATCTCCCCCTTCCCTCGCACCCCCTGTTTCGTTAGTTGAAATTTCTTTTTTTTTTTGTCTATGTTGAATCCCCCTTGGACATGGCTGGCGGTATGAGAGGGCAAGGAGGAGAAGGAGCAGGAGAGGGAGGAGGAGAAGGAGGAGGAGAAGGACGAGGAGGAGGAGGAGGAGGAGGAGAAGGAGGAGGAGAAGGATGGCAAGGAGGAGGAGGAGGAGGAGGAGGAGGAGGATAATTTTTTTTATTTTTTTTTTCTATGTCGAATCCCCCTTGGACATGGCTGGCGGGAGGAGAGGGTGAGGAGGAGAAGGAGCAGGAGAAGGAGGAGGAGAAGGACGAGGAGGAGGAGGAGGAGGAGGAGGAGAAGGAGGAGGAGAAGGATGGCGAGGAGGAGGACGAGGAGAAGGAGGTAGAGGAGGAGGAAGAGGTGGAGGAGGAGGAGGAGGACGACGACGAGAATTGCTGGGAGGAGGAGGAGGAGGAGGAGATACGTCGGGGCCACCTGAACATCGGGCGTCGCCTCGCCGACCGAGGGTCGGGGCCACCCGAACGTCGGGCGTCGGCTCGCCGCCCGAGGGTCTGGGCCACCCGAACATCGGGTGTTGGCTCGCCGCCCGAGGGTCACGGCCACCCGAACGTCGGGCGTCGACTCGCCGCCCGAGGGTCAGGGCCACCCGACTGTCGGGCGTCGACTCGCCGCCGGAGTTCTTTTCAGGTCTCGCTGCATGTCTGTGGATCCCCCATTCAGTACATTGTGTCGGACGGAAGGGTGGGATCAAGATCTTCCCCTTCCCTCTCATCCTCATGTCGTTTCACAATTGCTGGTTTTTATATATGTCTTCACAGGAGTTGTTTGTGGTACATGAATGTTGAATCCCCCTTGGACATGGCTGGCGGGAGGAAAGGGCGAGATGGAGAATCTCCCCTTTCCCTCGCACCCCTGTTTCGTTAATTGAAAAAAAATTATTTTTTTTTGTCTATGTTGAATCCCCCTTGGACATGGCTAGCGGGAGGAAAAGGCGAAGAGGAGAAGGAGGAGGAGAAGAACGAGGAGGAGGAGGAGGAGGAGGAGGAAAAGGAGGAGGAGAAGGATGGCGAGGAGGAGGAGGAGGATGAGGAGAAGGAGGATGAGGAGGAGGAGGAGGTGGAGGAGGAGGAGGAGGAGGACGAGAATTGCTGGGAGGAGGAGGAGGAGGAGGAGGAGATACGTCGGGGCCACCCGAACGTTGGGCGTCTCCTCGCCGCCCGAGGGTCGGGGCCACCCGAACGTCGGGCGTTGGCTCGCCGCCCAAGGGTCAGGGCCACCCGAACGTCGGGCGTCGGCTCGCCGCCCGAGGGTCACGTCCACCCGAACGTCGGGCGTCGACTCGTCGCCCGAGGGTTAGGGCCACCATACTGTCGGGCGGCGACTCGCCGCCCGAGTTCTTTTCAGGTCTCGCTGCATGTCTGTGGATCCCCCATTCAGTACATTGTGTCGGACGGAAGGGTGGGATCAAGATCTTCCCCTTCTCTCTCACCCCCATGTCGTTTCACAAGTGCTGGTTTTTCTATCTGTCTTTACAAGAGTTGTTTGTGGTACATGAATGTTGACTCCCCCTTGGACATGGCTGGCGGAAGGAAAGGGCGAGATGGAGAATCTCCCCTTTCCCTCGCACCCCTGTTTCGTTAATTGAATTTTTTTTTTTTTTTTTTGTCTATGTTGAATCCCCCTTGGACATGTCTGGCGGGAGGAAAGGGCGAGGAGGAGAAGGAGGAGGAGAAGGAGGAGAAGGACGAGGAGGAGGAGGAGGAGGAGGAGGAGAAGCAGGAGGAGAAGGATGGCGAGCAGGAGGAGGAGGAGGAGAAGGAGGTAGAGGAGGAGGAGGAGGTGGTGGAGGAGGAGGAGGAGGAGGACGAGACAGTGTCAGGCGGCCACAAGTAGTGCGCCGCCTGAAAACGGCAGTTTAGGGGTTTAGGCTCAGGGTTAAGTCCGCGTTTTGACAGTGCTTTGGGATGACCGGGCTGCAGGAATTATGAGAACTCAGGGTACCCCTGATTCTGGGCGCACTGGATTTTAAGAGTGACCCCCAAAGACAGCAAGATGGATGGGTGC